TTTTCGGTCGGAGTGGACGCTCGTGAATAGGTGCAATCCAGACGAACTTGCAAGCAATGACGGACGGGCAAATTAAGTATTGACATCAGTTACTGAGGCATAAGCAGACCATAATCCGGAACGAAACAGGGGAAAAACGAGCAAAGAAACGAAACGGTGTCATAATAAACAGATGCCAGTCACGTTACTCACGAGTAGTCAGAAAACAAGGAAAGTTACCGCTGGTCACCGTTGATTCGCAGGCGGAATCAACAGTGCGTCAACTGGTCCTTCGAAGTCTACATAGATGTTCGACTATATGGTTCTCGATGGAAGAAATCGCGGTTTTATCGGAGGGGAACGGCTGCATACAAAAACAAGCTACGATAAACTATTCGTACACCTAATGCCAATAAGCGAATTTCAGAGCGAGGTGCTTTATACGATTCGTCACCGGATATCTGTCGTGTAACAACGGACAAAGCGATGACCTGGCCCTCAAAAGTGAGGCAAACGCCAAGGGATGGCCACGAAATTTGTCAGTGAAATAGTCGTCCGATTTCCCCTCGAGGCAAGTTTTCGTCAGCCGGTTCGGAAAGACTTTTAGGCTTTTTGTGAAATAATTGCCATTTTGGTGACATCCCGAATCACTTTGAAACCAATCAACAGTTGGTTCGCAGTTTTCAACATCACAGCATGGACGGTAAGGGCGAACGGAACGCTTAAGATTCAACCAGATGCGAAAATGCGTCCGCTCGTACAGTGATTTTGGTTGAAGCATATTTATGGTAAGTGCTTAGCTCAACGGTATTGAGACCATTGACACAAAGATCGACTGCACAGGCTGAAACAAACCCCCTGTAACAAATTATTAGCCGGGAGCGGTTTGTCGACGGCAAGGCCTTTTCAGAGCGTGTCCACTCCAAAAGCAGTAGGCAGTGCGTCCTTTCCAGTTACACTGTGTTGTCGTTCCGTCACAGTTAGTGATTCTTCTTCACGGTCGGTTGCTTGCGTATCGCAGGGGTGTTCGTGGACCTCGACTACCGCGACCCAGCCGATCGGTACTTAGGATGGTCAGCAGACGTGGGTCTATGTGCGTATCCAGAATTTCGGACTTTCATTGTTTCTTCGCAGCCTCAAATGCAGGCTGGTGTTAGATTGAATAACCCTTCAAACACTCCTTTGTTGAAAGCTACGTGAGGGGTTTGTATCAGTCTTGTGTGCTTCATTGACAGACACTGTAGAAGTTGGGCGATTCTGGGGATGGTGTTAAGTCAGATGTGTTAGATGATGGAAGCGTCCTCACTATTGCATCAATATTTGTCTAGTCTGAAAGTGAATACTGGTAACCCTCCGAGGGGTTATTTAGGCCTGCAGCGAGTTCAGCACATGGTGATTTTGTTACAACGATGATCCGTGCGGTTTGAAGGCTAGCTTACAGGTTTTAAAACACTCCGATCGAGTGTTGAAAAACCTTGAGATTCCCTGTTAATCGGTCTGGAAGTAGGTTTGATACTTGGCCGTAAATAAAGCATCACCACCCCTTTTGAATGTCATCGAGTACCACCGCAAAAACGGTGACCTCTGGTTGCAGAATGCTCTCTTCTTCAGAACTTTTGCGAGTAAGTAAAGCTTTACTGACATAGCAAAGTTGCATTTTATTGTATATATGTTCAAACCAAAAAATTGCCTTAATCCGCTTTCATTTTTTCGCAATTTGTTTTGACTAATCTCACTTTTTAATCGTTGTCTCGCATTTGGCATTAAAATTGCTGTTGCCTGGCTTCGGAAGTGGCTTCAGATGTCTGTTGGAAACTTGAGGGGTGTATCTTTTTCATTTTTCATGCCATTAGGGATGGCGGTAACGGCATACTGGACGAATAACTTTAAGGTATTTGTGCGTGTAGCCAGTAATCGAACCGCCAACGATGTTTTGAGTTACGAATGGGTGCACTGCAAATGCTGCAGGTGGCCAGCAAGACAACCCGAAAGACGAGGATTCCGACGCGGCTAGAGGATGGGCGTATTTCCCACTAATATGCAGTATTTCTCTCAAGTACGTTTTTTGTCTAAGCAGTCAGGACAGCCATCTCTCGGGCACTTCAGATTTTCCTGAACGCAACCATAAGGTTTTTAAGTCTTTGTACAGTCGGCTTCTGGTCGATTGGCGGATAACCGAAGAGAAGTTGGGCAACTGCAGGGCCCTGCTGGATTGTGGAACGCCATCGTGTGAAATGCGGCAGTTTGTGTAATGACAGCATAAAGGAATAGAGAATACCCCTTACACCTGTTCTCAAGCCACCGTTGATGGCTTTCGACGATCTGCTTAACCAAATGAACCGACGCTAGAACACAGGAAAACCACAACCACCATTAAGCAGTTGATTGTTAAGGGGCAAATCCTGCTGCACCAAAGCCCGGTGTATACGACAGACGCCTCGCTGTTGATGGTTGATGGTGACACACTTCAACCCGGATAGCGGTCCGAGTCAGATTTTGGCTTTTGTACGTTTTGTGACCGGCCGACCAATAGTGGTGACGGCCGGCGTGCAACGGTTAGTGCATCGTGTCGCTCCGATTGTTGTGACGGTGAAACCGTGTGGCAACGATCTTCATGGTTCTCCAAAAGATTAGTCCGCAGATGCTTAGCTTAGTTTTGGTGCCTAGCCCCCAGCTCCTCCAGAAAACGCAAGGCTGTCTTTGCTAACCTGTTTCCAAGGCGGACATCTTATTAAGTTGACGTACACCGAAGCCCAGATTTCCAGCACACCTTGTCTCGGAAGCCTATGTGTGGCTGTCTATCGGTTCCAAGGAAGAGATATTTGAGAGCCATAAGTTAATGGCTTATTACTAGGACTAACACTGCACAGTGTCGGGTAGAATAAAGTGAAGCATCGGTGTTGAACACTGAGGCTATGCTGTCGATGATGAGATTAAAGTTGCTACGAGGATTTTGTGTGACCCATTCAAGGCTCATCAGAGATAAGCTGGCACATGTCGGTTAACTGATTAGGCATCGTGGACCCCTAGCCGCATGTTAGTCGTGTGCGTCACGTAGATTTTTTCAGCTGTCCGCAACGATCGAGACAGGCTCCATGTGATAAGTTTACTGGGCATCGCGGGCGCCTGGTCACATGTTAGTGTTGCGCATCAGCGGTAAGTTGTCCGTTATGATCGACGGCATGATTGTCCTTGAATGTTTTACCAATGGAGAACTTTTCTCCAATTTACCACCAAACTTGAAGTACGTGCATAGATCATAAACATCTGTAATCATTCGGGGCTTACAAATTCGCTTACAAATCTACCGCGATGGTAAGTCAGAATAGTAATTATCGAGATCTCAGAACACATAATTTGTCTGCTGTTCAGTCGATTCCTCTAATAAATAACAAAAATTATTTGCAGAAGTGTCACTCCCGCCTATTTTGCGTCCAGATATAGATTTCAGAAAGCTCACTAAATTATTCCAGCTACAGGATCACCTGCATCTTTCGTTGACTGTAATTGATCCACAATTTACCGCAATTCGCGATATCTTTTTAAAGTGCGCACCGTTTCACATCTGGCGGTGAATGATGACCTTGAATATTCGTTCACTTGAACGGATCACCCGTGCAGATAGTTTGTAAAACTTTACTGAACAGAAAAATTCTTCAGCGTCAGGTGGTAACCTTGGGAGTGTCGTAGTTTTTGAGAATTCGATTCCATTTTACGAATACTGGGCGGCACTGAAAACCTCATGATGTCTCTCTGGAGATCTGATTATTTCAGTACGAGTGGTTTGATAACACTTAACACTCTCAAAATCTCATTTAATGCAGCTGTTCAAAACTGTCGACGGGCATTGTTGAAAGCCAGAAACGTATGATCCAGTCTACGCCTAGCTGGCTCGTAAACGGTAAGGTGCATGAGTCCAAGCTTAGTATAGACAGCTATTCTCATCTCACAGGCAAGTTCATCTGGAAGCTTTTGAATTTCAGCCGGTGTTAGTCGTTGTACTGTATTTTAGTGTGCTATTTACTCCCACGTTGCAATAGAAAACGGCCATGATGTGGGACACCGTGTTGAACGGCAAACAAAATGTATAACTTCTTCCCCGGACTGTAGCAAATTAGACGGGCTTGGATCTGTTTAACGTGCGTGGCAAGCACCACATTAGTGGCAAGCACCACATTGATATGCAACTTCCATCACCTTCCTCGGATTCGTTATCTTCGGTTGTACTTGGGCGTCCAGTCAGATTTTCATGTCACTCACCACATATCTGTTTCCCCATGGTAGCTGTCCTCTGGACACCTATATACATTATAGTGGCATAACAGCACAATATTGCTGCACTGATGCCATGTCAAATTGTCTTTGCTCCTCCCAAATTTACCGTCACACCAGCCTGCTTTGAAAAGTTTGTAGCAATCCAAGAAGCAGAGGCGAATGATGGCCTTTCCAACACGACAGTATCAGGTTTCGGCTTGCGAGTGCTAGGCTGAGGAGACTGTTCAGTCCATTTTGAGTGGCTTCCTTCCGGGAGAAAAAATTCGAAATGAAACCGGAACTGCATGTGAACCAGTCTACAATTATGGTAGATCATTTGAACTGCTCAGATTCCAGGTTGACTCCGTCCATGCAGTCTTCGAACTAATTATTTGCCAGTTTTTCCACTGATCTTGAACAGCGACAAATGCCAACCAAAATTTGCTGGGTGATGCCACAAGGATTTTTAATATGTGAGATTTTGTTTGCCCTTCGGCATGATGAGTTACAGCAGACTGCATTTTTTGCTGTACTCCGTTTTCTTACCAACCGCCGTTTGACTCTAGAAATATATGCGTTCAACTCTACTAAATTTGCTTTTGGAATGTTGCTTTGCTGCTGAATTTTGCAATGCCGCGTCAAGGTTTCCATCACTAATGTCTGTGTCCAACTAAGTTAAGTTTGTCTGCGAATAAAAACTTTGTTCGACGTTTCATCAGTTAGTGTTATGCTTGTGTGGGTTCGGATGTCACCAAGCCTTTGTAATGGACTATAAAATGTGGCTCCACAACTTTAATAACGGGAAAAGATCCATTCAAGTGGAACAAACAGCCATACTGCAAAAAAAGTGAGCGCAAAATTAGGGGATCGTTGCGGTGTTCAAAGAGGATTTGAAGCCATGTGTCTACGCACGCATTCCTAGCTTGTTAGCACATTAATTTCTTAAAACCGTTGATGCAAGTGCTGATTCGTTTATATACGTTTATCGAGTTTATAAGGCCTGTTTAAGTGCCCTTTGCGGAGACCGGCTTGCTTAAAACTTGTAGTCTCAAGGTTACCAAGGGGCTAAAATTACAAGTCCATTACAAAAATTTTCCTCAACATTCTCCAACATACAACACACAAGAGATTGCGGCTACATGTTTTTCAGTACAGAAGAATAGCCGCGTTCTATTCCTACATATGGCATCCTGAACGCGCTATCACTACTCCATTGTTAAGGTGACCACATCGTTGCCTTGCGTTTCTGGATCCCTTCATTATAGCGCTAGTAAAAACCGTACTCGCAGTTATATCACAATGCAAAGCGGTTGATTGAATCATACTATTAGTGTCCAGCGAACTTATGAGATTTGGTCAACCCAATTTGAGGACATTTGAACGCATCCCATCTTTTACACGTGATAACGCCCTCGTTGAAAGTCACTGAAACTTTTTGAAAGTGGAAGAATAGGAAATAGCAACATATGAATAGTAAACCAATTCACCCGTTCGCAGCTGTCGTATTGTAAGTTGCTTATACAATATATTGATGTCGGTAACAGTTCGGGAAAATATGTCTACAAATCGGGGGAGTTCTCTTTCTATCACTTTCTGCCCATTTGACGAAGTTGTCACCATAGTCAAACTCCATCTGTTTGACTTCATATATGTTAAACAGCAGCTCCTTCCTGAGAGCATGGCAGACAGCAGTGTCTACGCTTCAAGGAATTGTATTGGTCTGGCTGCCAAAAAAGCTATTTCGTCACGAGTGTGTGGCAAAGAAATAAAAAATAAAAATGCTAGATTAAGTGTACAATAATACAGGTCAGATAGAACAGACTTACTAAAAATCGTTTTTGAAATAATTCGTCGTTGGCAAGGTCAGGGAATAAGTAATAAGCCAGTCCTCGTTATCCTCGGGTTTTCTTCTGAACAGTTCCCACAAATAATAAATTCCGAAGACAGTCTGAGATTTTTCAACAGCAGAGTTAGTACATAAAACTCGCGAATGACCATCGTAAGCGCAAGCGAAATCAGAAGAGAGAGGCGGACCACGTGAATACGTTTGCAATGCGTGAAATTGTACAAGTGCGCCTTTTTGTAGTTTTTCGTATTCAAACAAAAAACGGTTGTGCAGCCGACAAAATACGTAGTTACAATGAAAGCGTAAATAGGTGCGAACCACCTCAGAGCATATAGGTACTCATGTGGCACATTCTCGGCATCCAAGCTGCAAAGAACATCGCGGTCAACCTCTACATTACTGTATTAAGTCCTAAGTAAGCACCAACATTTGCACCTGGACATTTTTTAGTCATCATTGAATTAATAGCCGATCTTGTCATGATTGAAGATGCTCTTAAAACACTTCGGTTAACAGTCTTATTACGGTCGGATCCCCCACTTTTGAAAAAAAAACTTCTCAGACTTTTACTTTAACATAATAATTCGAATACGAGTAGCCCTCCTTGCGATGGAGGCATTTTCCAGATTACTGTAGCCAGACTTGCCTCTGGATGTACATGTTGGAGAAGGCAAAAATGTGGTGTGTCTTAAAAGTGTAGTGTGAATCACCTATTAATTTATTAAGGCGATCCACTGCATCAAACTATTTTCTACCCCATTAAACTAAGCAACACCATTTGACGAAAAAGCAGTGAGGACATTTAGCTGCTAGGCCGATATGCACAGATTAGTTGACCAAGCCTCTCTGTGGCTTGGGAGGTGGCCTGGGAGGTCAAAATGTGTACTAGTGACACATTACTTAACTGTGCTGAGAAGTGCCAAAAAAGCGCAATCGTTTTGAACATGCTTCAAGAAGCTTTAGTTAGCAGAAACTGAATGTTTCATAAAAAGCGTCCCATTTGCAGAAGCCATGCTAGTTGGGACATTTAGGGAGGCAATTTTCCCGTCCGCTGAAGCCACTATACCAATGGGACTATTTTACGTTGGGCCATTGCTTGCCAGAAGCACCACTGTTTGTTATTCTCTCCTGAAACTACACGTGGAGAATCCGACTGAGGGGTTGAGTTCTTTATACAATAACAACAACAACAATAATAATAATAATAAGTCACGCTCTTGAAAAGTGATTTTATTAGTGCGTTCTATGGGAACGAGTGTTGGTGATGGAGTTCATTCCGAAAGCGGTTCAGGATGCCATAGTGAACTGAACGAAATAAATAGCAGCGGGTCTCCTACATTTGACCTGTTAAATTTCTTGTCCACATAACCATTCATGTTGGAACAGTGAAGAAAAGCCAGCAAAGACCTAGCAACGGCCACAGAACATGTAGCCATAATACGGTGGGCCACTGTGACATTAGACCGTAACTAATTAAAGACTGTGGTCACTTTTTGTTTAAATGATTCCCTTCAGCGACACCGGGTGGTTTTTTTCGCGCCATAGTACTTCGTAAAACGTTCTTGTCAAAAAGGCTCATCGCCTTACATGCAAAAGGGATTGCCAGCAGCTATTTATGACTCGCTTCGACTCCATATCGTTACCCCGTGGATAGGGAGAATCACCGAAAATTCTTGGAAGCTGTTCCCTACCGGTTGTTTGGTAAAACCCTGAGGCGACTTCCATTGTCTTTTCATCTCCACACTACTACACTCACGGTCCTGAAATTCAGGAGGTTCGTCTGTCTAATACAGCAAAATAATCGCACCATTAGCCGGGTTGAGCTGTCGCCAGATGATAATAAAAAATATTAAGGCCAGTATGCGCCAAGAGTCGTGATTCAACTTGTGGTGACTGAGCATCCGAAGTTTCCATTTTCGTCTTAATATGAGCTTTTTGCTTCTAGGTTAAATCACACTTTTGTCAACAGGAGTAGGTGTTGGTTATTGGAAGCTTGACTAAACGCTCCGTAATGATTTTGTGAATTTTAATGATACGAAAAGTCCAGTACCATGTAACATGCCTGTACATGATCAATGGTTTTTATTACAGCTTGAGTGCAATTCAAGGCTTGTTGGGACGAATGTTTGACATGGATAGGAACAAGTGTAGCATGCACTGAATATATCAAATGAACTTAAAAACATGAATAGCAACACGAATAGTAGCTGTAGAGACTCAGTTAACAACCCTTTATTGGATGAAATCGAGTAAAAAATACAATTAGAGCCCCTATTCAGTGTATCCAACAAAGTAATTTCCGGAACAATCCCGACATGCTGGTCGAAAACCAAACAAGAGAAACCAGCTTTGGTGATCAATGACTACAAATGGTAATAATAAAAATGCTGCGATAATTACAGCCTTTATTTGACAAGCGGTGGGCTGTCGTTTGTTTTGTCATCTATGCGATGGGACAGCTTATTGTCTTGGAGTTGATGAAGGTATCAACTGCTGACAATTTTTAATTAGGTGCTAATCTCCCAAAGTTCAACTAGAACTGCATCCCTGAAGTCTTCTTTGATTTGCAGGCGTAAAATTCCCCTTCTGTGGTGTTTCATCCTCACGGATTGTAAAAATCCTCCTGGTTTAAAGTGCATGAGGCTTCGACTTTTCGACAATTTTTTGTTTCCTCAGATTACAGTAAACTTTTATCACAAGAGGGAGTTTTTGGCCAGAACCTATGGGTGAAATCTGGCTTCACCAAAATTAGAATTGCAAGAAAATTTGCTTTGTTAGTACTTATGGCATGAAGCTGTAGTATGCAGTTGTGCCATGTCAAAACTCAGTCAGCCGTAAAAAAAAACGATACTGCACATGGTGTTTATTGCAGTTAACAAACCTGAAGAGGACGGAACGCCGATGTTTTCCACTGTTTTAGCTCTTAATTTTTAAATCCATTTTTTTATGAGGTACGAATCCTCTAACACCTGTTGGATTCTGGATATGCTTCTTGCACTTTAGCTTGAAGCCGCAGCAATAGTGATGCGTTACATTTGGTAGACCAATATTAAACAGTGCGTTGGAGTCAACCAGACATACACATCTTTCACTCAGCTGTTACGTTGGACGGAACACAAGCTGATCTCTTCTTATTTGAGCTAGAGTTTCCCCCTTTTAGAGCAAATAAACTAATGGCACTCCCCGGTTGAACATTATGGCTCAAAGGAAATTCACGAACTACTGTCAGTGGATGAAAGTTAAATCGTTGTTTTTGTGAACAGAGACATGTAGAACAAAACACACCTGTGGAGCGACAGACATCTGATTGCGAAGAATGCTATTTCCCCTCCGTTCGCATGGCTAAGATGATCAAAATGGATGAAGTTCTTTTTGTGACTGACCTGTCTCTGTGCTCCAAGGAAAGTGCAAAGAAGAACAA